CTCACTGGACCCTAAACCAAGTGAGAACTCAATACACCAGGTTAGAACTATTCCTGAAACTATTCCCCGGAGATAAATTGTTTTGTATGATTAATAATTAATGTATTATCTTACAACACCGGATTAAAATCTCCCGGATTGCTTTGAATTGTCACCGGGAGACCGATGCCAATTCCGCTCGAGTCTCCTGGCCAATCCGGGAGGGTTGGCAACCCTAGACCGGGATCAGCGTGGGAAGAGGAGGCCAAAAACACCAGTCTAGAGCGGGTCTCTATATCGCAGCGGCCTCTAGTGAAGGGACAACCCCCGCTCCCTCGTCCGCCCATCCGCCAGCAGTGGTGCGAGTGAGCAATTTGCACGCAGATGGCCACCCTTTGCCTTTATACGAACACAGCAGTGCACGGGATGATTTATTACGAGTTCGTTCATGTGCCCGACTGTCTAGGGAAGAAGGCATTCGTCGTCCAGCAGTGGATTGACCATGGACTGGCGATGCAAGACTTACGAGAGAGCAACATTTTTTTAAATAGTTCACGTTTCCCCATCACGCACACATACATAAAATGCAAATCAATTTATAACATTTTGACATGCGTTTTTCTGGATTTCTTTGTTGTTATTGTCTCTCACTGTTCAAATAAACCTACCATTAAAATTATAGACTGATCATTTCTTTGTCAGTGGGCAAACGTACAAAATCAGCAGGTGATCAAATACTTTTTTTCCCTCACTGTACCTGTCAACCCATACGGTTTATCCCCGTATTCTTATACAGAGAAAATTACTTTTCAGGTCCATACGGCGTACAGCCGTTGCAATACGGGCAAACATTTTTTTGTCTATTTGTTTGTGTTTCTCCCTTGTGATTGGACTTTGTAGGATGAACTTTGAGATTTATAAGGGCACGGGGTGACCAATAAGGTCTGAATTGGTCTGTTATAAGGTAGGCACTGATAAGAGGTTGATAGGTATGGTAGTTCATATTCTTAGTTTTTTCGGTAAAGTCACGTTGAAGAGAAACAGCAAAATAATAAAATATATATTATTGTTATATATATTATTATTTTGTTGTTTCTCTTCAACGTGACTTTACCGAAAAAACTAAGAATATGAATTACTGCAGTCACGAAAGCTTTAAATCAAAAAAAGGAATGGTAGTGTTACACTATTACAGAGACATTGGCTGTGAGACACTGGTACAGCGACACTGGGTAGTGCATACCTGTCAACCCATACGGTTTACCCGTATTCTTGAACATGGAAATTGAGTTTTTAGGTCCATACGGCATACCGCCGTTTCAATACGGGCAAAAAAGTATATGTTTTGTGTTTCTCCCTTGTGATGGGACTTTGTAGGATGAACGTTGAGATTTAAAAGTGGCACAGGTCAGGCACTGATAAGAGGTTGACAGGTTATTCGGAACACGCGTACAGGGTTTACAACAATTGCGTAGTGCGCACTGTGTGGGAATGTACATCTAAAAATCCATGTTCTTTGGTTCTTTTGGTAAAGTCACGGAGATAGAATAAAAAAAACCCACGACCTTTTGATCTCAACACAAGCGGTCGTCATCAGGAATAGGGGGTTAGCCTCTAAAGGCAAACTGTTTATAATGGTTTAGAGATGGGCATAGCCCAAATGTGTCAGCAGCATGGGCGGGGCAGCTAATGTTAATGTTACCCAAGTGTGTCAGCAGCATGGGTGGGACAGCTAATGTTAATGTTGCCCAAGTGTGTCGGCGGCATGGGCGGGGCAGCTTATGTTAATGTCGCCCAAGTGTGTCGGTGGCATGGGCGGGGCAGCTAATGTTAATGTTGGAGAAAACAACGACAGCAGCAGTGGGTCTCCACCAATCAAATGGCCGCCAGGCAATCATTGCACCTCGCTCCACACACCCACATTGCTGACGGCGGAGGTTGACAAGAAAACACAAATCAAGTCATGACCCAAAGTGGTTGATGACAGCTTTCCAATGATTGCTGTGTTTATAACCATCCTCTCGGTTGAAATTGTGTCTGTGTCTGTATATATGGATTCATGAACAAATCTTTGTTGATAGCCAGGCGGCTTGCAAAGTACCATCGTCTTAGAGAAAAAAATTTCGCGTGAGCCAGCCACATTAAAATAATGATCAGCCACGGCGGAAGTATTGGTCCTACTGTGTTTCAAATCTGCCTTATGCTCACGAACACGGTCCGAGACATGCCGCTTAGTTTCCCCAATGTAACTGCTGCCACAGATACAGCTTAGTTTGTAGACGCCGGGATATAGCATGTCAGGAATCTTGTCCTTCACAGATGGGATCAGATCACAAATTTTACGTAGTGTTAAATCGGAGCTGGATCTTGTCTTTGTTCATGATTTTGGAAATATTTTAGGTTACCCCTGCTATGTATGGCAAGGTGATAGTTTTGATTGGATACTCAGATGGCTCCTTCCTCACGGTTGGGGTGATGGCTTTGCGGATTGCGTAGTCAGAATATCCATTCGCCTTGAGAGCTTGGTGTACGTGTTTGAGTTCGCTGGTTAGGTGTTCATGGTCGGAGATACATTGAGCGCTATGGTGTAGAGCTGGGATGGGGAACCTTTTTCTGCCAAGGGCCATTTGGATATTTATTACATCATTCACGGGCCATACAAAATCTCTTATCTGAACCAATTTCTCAACCACATCAATTCCATCCACCCAACCATCAAATTCACCATGGAGGTAGAAAAAGATGGCATGCTAACTTTCTTGGATGTCTTAATCAAAGAGACCAGATGGCTTAATGAGCCATTCTGTCTACAGGAAAGTAACCCATACTGACGCCTACCTAAAACCTGATTCCCACCACCATCCATCCCAGAAAAATTCCCTTATCAAAACTCTACACCAGGGGTGGGGAACGTCCGGCCCGCTGGCCGTATGAGGCCCGCAAAATCATTTGGTGTGGCCCTGCCAAGGCAACCGCAGGCGGGACTCGAAATTCAATCAATTGAGAAGCAAACCTGGATAAGCAGTTGCGAGCACAAACATCATCAATACCAGCTAACATCATCACACGCCTCACCAAAGAGAAGCAGTTCCAGCCATCCCATTAGGGGTGAGTTAATTAAATGTATGACCAAATATGACAGGTTAATTTTTAAGTTGATAATTTTGTATGGCCCGCGAATGATGTTATAAATATCCAAATGGCCCTTTGCAGAAAAAAGGTTCCCCACCCCTGCTCTACATCATAGAGCTCAATGTATCTCTGACCATGAACACCTAACCAGTGAACTCAAACACGTACACCAAGCTCTCAAGGCAAATGGATATTCTAACTACACAATCTGCAAAGCCATCACCCAACCGTGAGGAAGGAACCATCTGAGTATCCAATCAAAACCATCACCTTGCCATACATAGCAGGGGTAACCTAAAATATTTCCAAAATCATGAACAAAGACAAGATCCAGCTCCGATTTAACACTACGTAAAATTCGTGATCTGATCCCATCTGTGAAGGACAAGATTCCTGACATGCAATATCCCGGCATCTACAAACTAAGCTGTGTCTGTGGCAGCAGTTACATTGGGGAAACTAAGCGGCATGTCTCGGACCGTGTTCGTGAGCATAAGGCAGATTTGAAACACGGTAGGACCAATACTTCTGCCGTGGCTGATCATTATTTTAATGAGGCTGGCTCACACGACATTGATTTCTGTAAGACGATGGTACTTTGCAAGCCGCCTGGCTATCAACAAAGATTTGTTCATGAAGCCATCCATATCTACAGACACAATTTCAACCGAGAGGATGGTTATAAACGCAGCAATCATTGGAAAGATGTCATTAACCACTTTGGGTCATGACTTGATTTGTGTTTTCTTGTCAACCTCCACCGTCAGCAGTGTGGGTGTGTGGAGCGAGGTGCAATGATTGCCTGGCGGCCCTTTGATTGGTGGAGACCCACTGCCGGTGTCGTTGTTTTCTCCAACATTAACATTAGCTGCCCCGCCCATGCTACTGACACACTTGGGCCACATTAACATAAGCTGCCCCGCCCATGCTGCTGACACACTTGGGCTACATTAACATAAGCTGCCCCGCCCATGCTGCCGACACACTTGGGCTACATTAACATAAGCTGCCCCGCCCATGCTGCGGACACACTTGGGCTACGCCCATCTGTAAACCGTAATAAACAGTTTGCCTTTAGAGGCTAACCCCCTATTCCTGATGACGACCACTTGTGTTGAGATCGAAACGTCGTGTTTTTTTTATATATTTTTGTATTCTATCTCCGTGACTTTACCGAAAGAACCAAATAATATGAATTCCTGCAGTCACGAAAGTTTTAAGTCATAATCTAAAAATCCAGGCGCGTATAAAAAACACCACGCGTTGGTCTATCTACTACGACTGCACCATTGTTGACGGTTTTAGCGCGTTTAACAAAATAAATCGCAAAGGAGCTACGCGTTTGCATTTCGTAGCACGCATAGGAATCTGGCGCGTCACATATCCCAGAGCGCATAAACACGCGTTTGCATTTCGTAGCACGCACAGGGATCGGGCGAGCCACATATCCCAGAGCGCATAAACACGCGTTTGCATTTCGTAGCACGCACAGGGATCGGGCGCTTCACATATCCCAGAGCGCATAAACACGCGCTCGAAATTACCACCGCAGAAGCGCGAAGGGCGCCCTTGCGCGCCGCCGCGTTATTCTGTCGTGCGCGCGCCCTCCCGTGTGAGAACCCGGCTCTCACATGCCTCTCCCTCGCATCAACGCGCGGCGTTTGCGTAACCGCCGCCACCCCCCAACAGAGCGGCCCTCGACCGCAACCACCAACACGTCCCGGACGCGTCGGGCCACGGCGCCTTTTACATTTGCCACCACCGATGGGGCGGCGGCGCCCTCGGATTGGCCGCGACGGGGCCCCACGTCCCGCCAACAAGCCGCGCCCCCATTGGCGCGGGGCGCGAGCGCGCGCCAATGGGGGCGCGCGTGGGCGCGCCGCTATGCGCGTCCGCGCTACGGATTGCAAACGGCTCGCCTGGGCCCAGGCGAGGCGTCGTCTTGGTGGGAGCCGCCGTGAGCAGGAGACGACCACCACCCCCCAACTCCCCCCAACTCCCACACCCGCACACGAATTATAACGAGACGACAACAACAACAACATTTTTGTTGTTTTTTTTACAAAGTCGCGATTCGCACTCGTGAGGTGGTGGCGGTGGTGGTGGGTGGGTAGGCAGGGGGTTAAAGCCTTCGCGCCGTCCCGCGGTTGGCGAAGGAGACGCGGCGGGGGTGGCGGCGGCGGCGGCGTTCCGAGTCGGGGCGCGCTGCAAGGCGACGCGGCGGGGCCCGAGGCCCGGGATTTGGGCCTAGCGAGAGGGGAGCGGTGGACGTACGGCGCTGCATTTTTTTTTCCCTCAATACCCCAGAGCGATCGACTTGCACTGTAATTATTTACAAACTCTCGATTCTTTAACGATGTCGGCGGCGCGCGCGCGTATGTGTGTGTGTATAATTGACAAGTAACAAATAGTCGTAATTACGCGAATGCAAATAATGCGGTGGTGGTTCTGGCGCTGTGCTTTCAGGCGGCCGGTGAACGGGGATTTTGGTGATGGACGTGAGTTTATAAGATACAAAGGAGGTTGTTTTTTTAAAAAAAAAATTCGGCTTATTTGAGACGTTACACATTATAATCACGTGGCAGTGCTCCGCGTGGTGTTGTGTCCTCGTTCGTTAGCGATGTAATTCGCAGATCGCTAAAATAGTTGCGGTCATTTTGGCGATGCAGATTGTTCGTCGTATTCGCGTGGTTTGCCGAGGCCTTCGATGAGGTCATGTGGTGATCAACATTTCGATTCTAATTAGTTGGTTTCGTCGCTAATACTGCAAGTGAATAATTGTGATTTCTGTTTGTACTGCCGTATTAGCATTAATGTGGCGACGTGAGGTGAGGTTTCATTCTCGCATTGCGAATCCGACTGATTTCGTTGTGGTAATGTAGTAATTATCATTTTACTACAGCAGTAGCATTGACGCGGCTTTGAAAACGGATGCTAATTGCAATTACTACATGCATTATTGTTGATGATTGCCTATCGACAATGGATTTGTTAGAACTACATTGTTTAGTATTAATAATTGTCATCTTTAGTATAAACAGTATTCATGGGTCTTGAGATTTCAACCGAAGATTCGATCGTGTTCCCTTTTTACTACTAATTTGTCATAGCTGTGTTATTGTGTTATGTAATTGCTACACTATCAATCATATTACAATTTAACATTAATTACTATTTAAGTGTCAAGTTTTGGTTTTGCTTAAATATCTACTTATATTACACATACTACAGTATATATGTTCATATAACCCCTATTTGGCACATTGTGAACATTATTGATTAGTATATATTGCATGTTTATGTAATGCGCACATTACATATATTACGCAGGAAGCCCGGTATCTCTTTAATTTTGATACACGATTTTTTTTGTATTACACGTACGAATAATTGTTTTGCTAACAAAATTGTCTTCTAATTTTTTTTGTCTTGGTTCCAGTGCAGGAATGTGCTGTGTGATTTTATGCACTGCGTGTGCCGTATACATTCCTTCCACATTTCTAGTGGACAGCACCCTGGCATTTTTTATACCAAAGATAATGTTTCACTCCACCATGAGCTGTCTCTCTCTCACCTGGATACAGACAAACACAGTCCACATAACAAATACTCAACACATTGGACAATAACAAGTGCCCTAAAAGATATTTAAGTGACATTTCGAGAAATGCCCCCGTCTTCATAGCACATGCACGTTACGAAGTAGGATTATTTTACGTATGCTTTATAAAGTCCCATGTACTTTATATATTTTGAGAGCCAACCGTGCCCAGTGAGTCAATTATCCAGGCTTTATTGCCTCTTTAATGCACTTTCTAAATGTAATTTGTCAGTTTCACTTATAGCAAATAATTATTAATATGTACGATGTACATTAAAACGAACACCTCAACGTTACGTTTACAAAGCATGTCTGTAACAATCGCTCTTTATCCATAAAAAAGCGTCATTGAGTTGTGCAGTGCCATAAGCCTGTCCAGCATTGGGATAGATTGCAATTTCAAAATAAAGGCATTTAAAAAAAATGGATGCATGAAGAAAAAGAAGCAATTGGATAAAATCCACCATGCCTATGAGGGAGATAACACAAATCCCAACTATTTGGACCGAAACCCACTTGCTGTGCTACCACATTGACGTGTTGCATGTTGGTGGGTTTGTCGTGCAGCGGTTAGCACATTGTGCTACCAAACCGGCGTCCCGGGTTCTCGCTCGCGGTCAGCACCAATGACGGTTATCTGAGACGGTCCTGGGCCTTCCCCTAGGTCGACTCGGCTTCAAATGAGTACCTGCTGCGCTGTGTAAACTTTGCCACAATGGTGTCAAGGGCGGCAGGGTGTTGTTGCTGTTCACCCACCCCAACTACCGTGTGTGCCGTGCCGGCCTTCATAGGCGCTCGCTAACAGCATTTGCCCCGGCGGTCTGTTAAGGCTATGCGGGCGGGGGGGGGGGGGTATCTTTGTCTTTATAGCGGCACACAAAGATATGAGCTGTGGATTATGTAAAAGCGCTTGTTGTCTTTGTCTCGTTCTCCCTTTCCAGCTGTGGGTGCTCGGTAAAGAAGATGGAGTGATGTGGTCGTGATGAACACTTCCCTAATGTCCGTGCCTCTCTTCCAGCAAGCATTCAACCGGTGGGGGCATCGATACCCAATATTGCAAATAACAAAAACAACAACAATACCACACAGTGCATGTTTTGGTGTTGCAACAGACTTTGGGTTCCACTGTTTGAATGGGGTAACCAACAGTATGAATGTATAACATCGGACGAGCCCAGGGGTCGGCAACCTGCGGCTCTGGAGCCACGTGCGGCTCTTTTAAGGAGGACCGCTTCGTGACGTTATTTATTAAGGAACCATCGTCTTGTATTCACGTGCATTGCGGCTCTTTAAATATTTGGGTTTTTTTTGGCTCTTGTTGTTGTGGTTGCTGACACCTGGGCTAAGCCGGTCAAGGGTCAAAACGTCTCCCTGCTCAAACGAGCCAGGGGGTCAGTGATCATCTCCACGGTGGCGAGATGTGAACTACCTTGCCTGATATACAGGAGGTTTGTGGGTTCAATCCCAACCCAGACGCCTGCTGCTGTATATTTGGAGTTTGCATGTTCTTCCCGTGATCACGTCGATTTTTCTCTGGGGCCTCCGGTTTTTCCCTCCACATTCAGAATCGACGTACGTTTAGAGCATTTGGCTGCTATAAATTTCCACATGATGGTAAGCCGCTTTGTTGGGTCATCATTTGTGGCCAGGTCTCTTCTGAAAAAGAGCTATATAGTTCAGTGGGCCTTACCTGGTGAAATAAAAATTGTTTAGTACTTGCTCTGAGCCATTGGGGTAAATTCCACTATGCTATGGTCACTGCATTCAAAGCAGGAGGATTACTGTTGACTTCCCACAACGTTATTTTCATTGTATCGACCTCGGAGGCATAACGATGATTGTGGGCTGAGTTGACCTGTGAGTGAAGCTCTCCTATGCGCAACACCAACTGGGTAGTGAATTTGAAAACTTCATCTACGACATTTAACAAGTGATAACCTTGCTGATGACTCTTGGTGAGATATAAAACGGTCCAAAGATTCCGCATTTAATTCACAAATGCTACTGAGGAACACCGGTCCAGGAAGCCCATTAGTAGATGAAAGTGAAGTTACGGTTATTTAATTTGGGTGATTAAGCAAAATATTGTTTTCATTTCACGTGGCTGAGTGGCTTGGTGGAAAAGGAGCTTTGTAATGGCTGAGTAATAGCACCGACTGGGTTCCTATCTAAAGCCCAACCATGAGTATTGACGGAGTTCAATTTGGTAATTATTATGAATGCACTGATATCTGCTTTTGACGAACGCTTGTGTTGCGATCGAAACGTCGTAGTTTTTTGTTATTTACTTTGAACCTATTTGTTTTCAACATGTTTAAGAGTTTGTATTTTTACCTCTAAAATTTATGCGAGATAGTAGAGGCTAATGACGAAGAGTCGGATAAAAATGTCGGATATCCCAGAGGACATCCACCATGGAGACGAAGCAATGAAATGTAATCCTGTGCAGGCGCTAAGTAGTTGGTTTTATTTTGAGACTGAGAGACGACTCAAAGCTAGTGTCGGACGGCCAAGTTACAAAGCAACGGTGTGCATCTTCAAAACAAGAACATTCTACTTTGGTTTGCTGGTGCCTCGCTACCTATAAAGTAAAGTTTTTTTTTTATTCAGGTTCAATTTTGTAACGTCATAATAGCCGGAGAGGGTTTAAGCTTCTCGTGTTTGGTGCATTTTGTCTGACAGTGATGGCCTCCAGGAGTTGCCTGCTGGTAAAATGGAGCATGTGGAAACTCACCACCCTCCAGAAACCCAGTCCTTGCCAGGTAATGATGAAATAAAGATAAGTACTACTGTTGTGTAGGTTTTTTCACGGTTGTGCTGCACAGCTGGCCAAAGTGTTTTCAGGTTATTGCCGCGTGTTGTTCGGTGTTGTGTCCGACATTTCGTTTCGCCTGCCTGCGAGCTCCTTTTGAGAACCGATAAATGTTGTTCGCCTTGGTGGCTAACGTTGCACTCGGCTCGCTGGGAGCTTCATTTGTGTGTGCGGTGCAAACCCAAAAACACATCTGTGACCTATGAATAACAATAAAAAAAAATCACATCATCAATAATTGCAATGCTCTTCTAAAGAACGCTCAAAGCACTTTGCAGTATACCTGTCTAGCAGATTTATTCCGCACCTCGCTCAACAGTCGTACACATTCACATGAGCTGTGTTGAGGCTGTGGGTTCGTGTTGAGACTGTGGGTTCCTGTTGAGGCTGTGGTTTCGTGTCGAGGCTGTGGGTCGGTGTTGAGGCTGTGGGTTCGTGTCGAGGCTGTGGATTCGTGTTGAGGCTGTGGGTTCGTGTCGAGGCTGTGGATTCGTGTTGAGGCTGTGGGTTCGTGTCGAGGCTGTGGATTCGTGTTGAGGCTGTAGGTTCGTGTCGAGGCTGTGGATTCGTGTCGAGGCTGTGGGTTCGTGTTGAGGCTGTGGGTTCGTGTCGAGGCTGTGGATTCGTGTCGAGGCTGTGGGTTCGTGTTGAGGCTGTGGATTCGTGTCGAGGCTGTGGGTTCGTGTTGAGGCTGTGGGTTCGTGTCGAGGCTGTGGATTCGTGTCGAGGCTGTGGGTTCGTGTCGAGGCTGTGGGTTCGTGTTGAGGCTGTGGGTTCGTGTTGAGGCTGTGGGTTCGTGTCGAGGCTGTGGGTTCGTGTCGAGGCTGTGGGTTCGTTTCGAGGCTGTGGGTTCGTGTCGAGGCTGTGGGTTCGTGTTGAGACTGTGGGTTCATGTTAAGGCTGTGGGTTCATGTGGGTGTAGGTGACTGCTTAGGTTATGGGTTCGTGTTGAGAATGTGGGTTTGAGACCATCTCGGGCGTACCTCTCCAGTTGCTCTTCTCACACCACACAGGCAAACAGTTCTACTGTTCGATGGAAGGGTGCGAGGAGGTTTTGGACAGCATGCATGTTCTCGTGAAGCACATGCGCGTGCACCACAAGCCGCTCCGCTACTACAAGTAAGTGTGTGCCTACCTGTAGCCTGTGAGATGGTGGTTGAGGCTGTATGTTAGTCTTGAGGCCGTGGGTTAGTGTTGAGGCTGTGGGTTTTTGTTGAGACCTTTTTTTGAGGCACGGTGGGTTAGTATTGAGGCTGTGGGTTGTTTTTGAGACTGTTGTTGGGGCACGGTGGATTAGTGTTGAGCCTGTGGGTTGTTGTTGAGCCTGTGGATTGTTGAGGCTGTAGGTTGTTGTTGAGGTTGTGAAGGGCATAAATTCACGTAAATAGTACGATGGTAATTTTAAAAGTGTTTATTACGTGTAAATATTAAATTGTAAATACAGGCGGTCTCCTGGTTTACGATCACGATTTACTACGCTCCACATTTACGACGTTTATATGACACCAACACGGGTCGATGTGAGATGCAGAAACTTGGTTTACGAATGCGTCCTCCGACACGACTCTGGAACGCATTCGAATCGAGTCGCTCATGTTTCCGACGCGAGTCGGGAGTGTCACCTTTTTGTTATTCTTGAGTGATGCATTTTTTCCTGTGGATTTTTTTCTTTTACCTCTCAAGAAACCCCGTTGAAATACGAATGACGAAACGGGAAAACACATTGGCAAGTGATGTTTCTAAGGTTTCTACTGTCTATGGGGAGGAAATAAGGGGGTCCGGTTCACGACGATTCGACGATTTACATCGAATTCGTTTCCAGGAACGCATTGTATTGTCACAGAAGCAGGGAACCGCCTGTGTTTCATATTAAGTGTAAACTCTGTGCTTTAGCTCAGTGTTCTTCACTAATTTTCAAAGGGAGGCAGTGCCACTTTCGCCGATGAGACGTCATCAAATTTCGATTTAAAGCTTTCGTGACTGCAAGGATTCATCTTCTATGGTTCTTTCGGTAAAGTCACGTAGAATGAGAATAAAATAATAAATTGATAAAATAAAATAACGCAATAAAATTCTCACGACGTTTGTGTTGCGGCCGAAACGTCGTGAGAATTTTATTGTGTTATTTTATTTTATCAATTTATTATTTTATTCTCATTCTACGTGACTTTACCGAAAGAACCAAAGAAGAAGACGTTATCAGTGGGAGTTTGACAGGAGGACGATGATGAGGGGTGTTTTCACCCTTTGTGTATTGTCGTGGGGGGGGAGGGGGGGCAGCACGTCAGGGGCCGCACTAAATGCCACCAGGAGGCCACCAGTGGCCCATGAGGCCTTGCAACGAAGAACACTGCCTGCTCTAGGTGTAAATTCCATGTGGGCGCCATTAAAATAAAACGAACGGATTTATGATTTCATTAAAATATAACACCTATACGTCTGCTGGCCAGGGTATGTGAACAGTTTGTTGCATCCGGTATGCGGAGATGGGGCGGGCGGGGGGGGGGGTCGATTACGCGACAAGCAAAACGTCGGTAAACCACTGCGGCCTCCCGCAGGTGCGAGAACTGCGGCGCTCGCTTCCGCACGCACCGCGTCGTGTGCAAGCACCTGCAGCTGTGCCTGGCAGACAGCGCCCTCAAGCTGGCGCTCAACCCCCGGCCCGGCAAGCTACAGCAGCAACAGCAGCAGCAGCAACAGCAGTCGGCCGATGGCAGCTATGCCGCTCTGCCTGGCGGGGAGACGGTCGGAGGTGGCAGCTGGCAGCAGCACAACGCGCTGAAGGAGCTCCTTTCGTCGTCGGTGTACAGCAGCGCCCATCATCATCATCCTCATCATCATCACCCGCTGCCAGCGTCTTCGTCGTCGACGTCCTCGTCGTCGAGCTTATCGTCCTCGTCGGTAACGGCGGCCTTCCGGCAGAATTTCGGCGGGGGATCGGCGCGGCATTCGCAGTCGTTTGCCGGGGCCAGGGCCGGCCACGGGGGCGGCGGCGTGGTCAGGCAGCAGCAGCAGCAGCAGCAACAGATGTCGTTCACGAACAGCCGACGGCAGCAACACCAGCAACACCAGCAACAGCATCAGCAGCAGTCGGTGAACACTTCAGCTCATCAGGTGAAGTTTTAACGGCAGTAACGGAATAAAACGTGAAGGTGGGACTGTTTGCAGTTGTGCACGTCAGCAAAGGGAACACGTAACTCTCTGTTGTAGACATGTACACAACGGCCCTTTCGTTCGACTGGATAATGTTAGATTTTTCTTGTAAAGATGTTTTTGCCTGGCAATCTATTCACATTGGTAATATTATTAGCATCACTTTTTTTTTCCACCTAGGATGGCCTTACTGAGTCTCAAGACTCTTCTCTTCAGTAGGGTCCTGCCTACTTTTCACTGTAGGAAGTGCTGTTGCTACTTGTAATCAGAATCGAGGGATTTAAAGTTACATTTTATAATTGGGAAATATTACCAATACCGGTTACATTGCATGGTGTGTTTTTTCAGCAATATAATCTTTTCACTTGGGTAATTTGATTGTGCCATATTATCATTGAGGAGACGACCGTGCGTGTTGTTGTCTTGGTGTGTTCTGGGACTTTTTCGTTGTTGTTTTGCTGCCTTGCCCGAAGCTTGCATTTAATTTTGAAAGATCTGCAGGAATTTGTGCACTTATGCAATTTGTATTTCGATGCTTTATTTATATCCGTCTATTTACTTTTTGGTGACTTGTTTACCTTTTCTCTCTCTTGTCCATTCTTATTGCTTCATTTTGTTCTTGTAACTTGCTGACCCCGTGCCCCTACTGCACATCTGAGATGAAGAGCTTCATAGCCCATCGGATTCCTCCTCCAGTCGAAATAAAGATTCCTATTTCCGAACTCGCTCCTTACCGTAGTTACCGTAACTTCTCGACTGAGTTGCCTGCATCTGCTTTTTGATGACAATCCCTCGCCCATCTCTTCCTCCACACCTCCTCTTCCCTGCGGTCCCCCTCCACCTCCCCAGGTCCAGCCGCACCCTGCAGCCTCCGCCGTCTCCGTGCTGCAGCGAGCACCGACGGCGTCGCGAACCCGGACGTCCCCGGCGCCGGCCCCGCCACCCACCCCGCCGGCGGCTTACCCTCCTGTGACCTTCGCTTACGCTCAGTCGGCGGGGGGCGGCACCATCGTGTCCAACCCGCAGGCGTATGCCGTGCCCCAGCAGCAGCAGCAGCAGCAACAGCACCAGCAACATCACCAACAGCAACATCACCAGCAGCAACATCACCAGCAGCAACATCACCAGCAGCAACATCACCAACAACAGCAGCAACACCACCAGCACCACGCGATGGTGTCAGACGGCGGCGCCGCCGCTTACCAGCACGTCTCCTCGGCGCCGCCGCCGTCGTCCTCGTCGTCGTCTTCGTCGTCGTCGGCGACGCTGTCGGCGGCCACCGCCTCGTGCATCGTGCCCAACGCGCACGCCGCCTTCCCCGAGGCCGACGGCGCCTACGGGAAGGCCTACGCCAAGGCCTACGCGGCCGTCGGTTCCTCTTCGGCCCGCGAGGCCGCCGCAGCGGCGGCGGCGGCGGCGGCGACCCAGCAGTACACCTACTCCAAGCCGATCCCGCAGCTCATCTCGGACGCGGCTCACGGCACCCGCGACGCCAGCTACGCCAAGCACGCGCAGCCGTACGTCACGGCCGCGGCTGTGTCTCCACTGTCGCACGCCCAGCAGCAGCAGCAGCAACAACAACAGCAGCAGCAGCAACAGCAGCAGAGTTACAGCAATGACAGCAGCAATGGTGGCGGCACGGGCAACAACGGAGACCCAAATTCGCCGCGCTCCACCGAAGCGTTTGGCTCTCCGGGCCCCATGCCACGGCTGGTTCCGGTTGGACCGAACGGGCGCAGCAATGGCAGCCAGGTTTCCGGAGGGAACGCGGCACAGCAGTCTGTTAACTACGGTGGTGGTGGCGGAGGTTCTGGTGGTGGTGGTGGCGGCGGCGTGCGCAGCAAGGCAGCGCCGTTCCGGCAGGAGGTGGGCGGCACAGAGCCCCCACGGGACTCGCCGGCGCTGTTTTCGTACGCGCAGAGCGTGGTGGAGCAGGTTTACTCGTACAACGCACAAGCAGGTAACGGCACCCACCACCAGCAGCAGCAACAGCAGCAGCAACAACAGCAGCAGCAACAACAGCAGCAGCAACAACAGCAACAACAACAGCAGCAGCAGCACAGGAGATCGGGACACCACCACCACCATCACCAGCAGCAGCAGCAGCAAAGGCGATCTGGGCATCATCACCAGCAGCAGCAGCAGCAGCAGGAACTCAGCCCCACCACCTCCCAGAGCGACGGCTCCCCAGAGGGCCAGCTCGCAGCACAGCACAACGAGCGCACCAGCTTCCAGTCTCCGTCGTCGGCGGGCACGGCCGCCCGTGCCAAGCCGTACTCGGCGGCGGGGGCGGCGAGCGCCGGCGTGATCGTGCCGCAGCGCGCGTACGTCCCCCAGGCGCCGTCGTCCTCCTCCTCCTCGTCGTCCTCCTCCTCCTCGTGCTCCTCGTCGTCCCTTGCGACGATGGCGGCGTCGGCCGAGCCCCAGACGTTCGGGGCCCTGGCGCAGGCGCTGCCGCCGCTGCTCAACATGGCGGCGCAGTTCTCGGCGGCGGCGCACCTCTCGTTCGGCACGGCGGTCGCCCCGCAGCAGCAGCACCACCAGCAGCAGGCGCAGCACCAGCCGCAGCACCAGCCGCAGCACCAGCAGTCGGTGCAATTCCCCTACGGCGGCGCCTACACGCTGCCCCCGTTCCAGCCCGTGTTCCGGCCGCAGGCGAATCTGTTCGCTCACCCGCACTGCCTCCCGTCGTACGCCAGCACGCACTGGCTCGTCAACGCGGGTACGTGCGCCACGGGAAGGTCCCCGGCAAAGCTGGCGCCGCGGAGTTGCCGGGGGTTAGGGCGGGGGGGGTCTAGCTTAAAGAGTTGCTGGTGTGCGGTGGTTCTGTGAAAAGTGAGGTGGTCCACGAGTCTGGAGAGGTTGGGTACCATCTGTAATAGACAATAGGAATAACTCGGTCTCAATGTTTTTTCGGTTGGAAGTCCTTGGGTTCGGCAATTATCAACTTCATATACGGACACCTCGCAGTTCGAGGTTTAACTGCAGTGTTAGGTACGGTCGCATTCTGAAACTGCGCGCACGCGTTCAGGGGAGCGGTAGTGTAGCGGTTAGCGTGCTGCGCTACGCGCACCCGGTTACCGGGGTTTTTTTTCCCCCGCTCACGGTCAACATCGGTAATGATTATCTGAACCAGTCCTGGACCTCCCCTGGGGACGACTCAGCCTCAAATGAGTACCTGGTGCGGTGCGTAGCAAACATCTCCGCTCGGGAGACAAAGGCGGCCGGACGTGGTGCTGGCCACCCGCCCCCTCGTGTGCCAAGCCAGCCTTCGTAGGTGCTCGCTAGCAGCACTTGCCCCAACAGTCTGTTACAGGCTAAACCGGAGATCTTTGTCAAGGGAGCAGTAGTGTAGCAGTTAGCATGCTGTGCTACGGACCAGATTACCCGGGTTCGATTCCCACTCACGGTCAGCACCCAGTGACGGTTATCTGAATTAGTCCTTGGCATCCCCTGGGGCCAACTCGGCCTCAAATGAGTACCTCGTGTGGTGAGTAAACATCACCACTAGGAAGACAAAGGCAGACGGGTGTGGTGCTCGCTAACAGCACTTGCTCCTGCTATCTGTTTAAGGCTATATGGGTGATCTTTGTCCCTGTTCAGGCCAGTCAAGCAGCGGCATTCCAGTCTGGCAGCAGCCAAGCCACCCGTACAGCTTTCCTCAGGCCCCCTATCCCAGCATGCCACGTGAAGAGCCGAGTCTCCAGCGCCACTTGAAGCTGCCCGACTCGGCGGTGCGACACGACGCAGGTGAGGAAGTGCGCACCCTGCATCCTGCATCCACACGGCACAGCAGTCGATAACCCCATCTCAATGGGCGGCACGGCTGCGGTGGTGGTGCAGTGTTAACTCTCGCGGCTCGGAGCAAAAACTACATCTATTTATTTTACCAGGTAAAGTCCACTGAGCTGTACGGCTCTTTTTCAGAAGCAACCTGGCTATCACAAATGATAGTTCAGCAAAGTAGCTTATCATGTGGAAATTTATAGCGGGAAAATACTCTAATCGCATATTTCTAAATGCGGAGAGAAAAATTCCGAGACCACGAGGAGAACATGCAAACTCCAGATATACCGGTGTCAGGATTGGGGTCGAACTCATGACCCCCAGTATACCAGGCGAGGTAGTTAACATCTTACCACTCGTGCCTCAGAGCAAGACCTTTTTGGGTTGCATTCCCAACTCGGGTGCCTCTGCGTGGAGTTTGTAGGTTCTCCCCCTGTGCTGCAGAGTGCTCGTGTGCGAGTTCAAGTTTCATGGCTATCACCGGCGACGATTATCCCACCCAGTCCGGGGCCTCCCTTTGCTAGACTCGGCCTCACATCAGGTTCCCTCCAATAGAAGTGTGCGTACTTAAGTTGGTTAAACGTCAGTTACTCGCGTTAAGAATATCGGGCTTGGCTGTCGTGCAACAAACCTCGCTCAGGTGACGTCAGACCAGAGATCTCGGAGGTAGCTCGGTGATATCTGCTTCTGCGGACCGTTCTCGAACACGAAGGCTCACCGCTGCTTTGCGGGAGATCCGAATTGGTTGTTAGTCTCATGATGCCGATGGCATAACTGGGATATAATTGTCAGAAAAATTATAAATATAAAAAAAATGTTTTTAAGCGTTAATTGCAGTCACCCACTTCTCTTGTGCTGCGTGTTCTTTCAAACAAGCACTTCGCGCATCACCGATGGATAGCTGGACTCCCATCGCTGCCCTTATCCGTAGTTTTTTAAACGCTTCGATGTCGACAGAGACTGGAGCGGCGGCACGGGAAACGCCGGTCGAGAACCGTGGCTGACTCGTCGCAAGGAACGTCGGGGCCTATCCTGCCGTTGTCCCACGAGTTATCGCCGCCGCTTTACGACGCAAAAATTAAACGGCCGCATTCCTGTTCGCGCACGTTGTCAACTTGGCGAGCAAATCGTCGCTTGAAAGTCAAAAGTCAGTCTCCGTTTGTGAGCACGAACCCAACCGGCTTGCGAAACTGCGCATGACTAGTCGCAGACTCCACCTGGAAGCAAGCAACCCTGCGTCAATCAAGGTTGCGTGCAACTGATCGCTCGGGTGTGGCTCGCTGAAAAAAAAACCAGCGCGCAGAAGAGAGGGTAATATCGTGGGAGAACCACCGAACTGCACAGTAGTCCAGAAGCATGCAATACAAGCTTCGTGTAAAAAAAAACAACGCTAATTTCTAGGAACCATCGGGTACAGTATGGGCCCGAAAGGCATCCGTCAACAAGTCCGCGCAATATAGTTGCGGAGAGACGTCCGCATGCAAGCGATCCTCAGCTCCGTGCAATCGAGTTGAGTTTTGCCGGGGCATTTAAAGCGTCCCATAAAAGAGGCATGCAAACACAAGCTTCGTAAGGAAATAAATGTGCTCGTAAAATAACAATAAGTGTTACAGTTTTCATAATTTTTTCGGAACTACTAGTTCGCTCGGTGCACTTGCAGAGACGTCCACAGAACCAGAATATGTATTGATACTGGAGGAATCCTATCAGCTGTAAGCTCTTTTTCACAGATGTCCAGTAGGGGCGGATACGAGCATTACAACAACAAACAATACAAACATATGATAGTGCGAAGTACAGGAAAGGTTAAAAAAAATCACCCAAACACATACAAATACAACGATAAACCATCCCCATCCTACCAGGCAAGCAATTCTCAATTGCGTGCAACCTATTTGAGCTTTGCCACGCCATCCGAAGCGTCCCCGAGCGAGGAAAACCATGTACGTACCGTGTCCTCACCTCGTCTCTTCTCCGTTCCGCAGATTTCGCTGCCGGCGTCATCGGTTACCACACGGGCGCGAACCTGGTGCCAACACCGTACACGCAGCACAGGGACTTCCCCCCGCAGTGACACTTGCCCCCCCCCCTGTCACCCCCAAGCGCCCCCTTCCCGCCATCATACTTTCTCCCTTTGATTTCTCCGCCCCCCCCCCCCCCGTCCCACTCGGTGGTTGCACTCTGCTTGTTGACATCGGCTTCAAGAAGGCGGCCCGCTGGATATTCACTGCCGGAAACCCCCCTCACCCCCCCCCCCCGCCGAATTCGGTGGATTACCACGATCGGCCGTTTACGATTTAATTGGAATAGCCGTGGAGTGGTGTTGGCGGGGCGGGGTGAAGAAAACAAAACTAACGGCACGAGCAACGGTGCGCCCACTCGCAGAGCCGCACGAAGGCAAACCGACTCCCCATCGATGCGCTCGCGTGCAGGCGGTCCCGCGTGACCACCCTTGCTTCGCGGAAAAAAAAAACAAAAAAAATCTGTCGCGCTCAAACCTCGTCGAGACCACCGCCTAAAAAAAGGGGGGCTTGAGAGCATGGCCGCGTTTATGTCGTTTCGACCGACAAACTCAGAGGTTCGAGGTGCAGCCGTCCCCTTGTTGGTTTCTTTGTCCGCGGCAACGCTGCCGAGAGTCCCGCGGGCGGTGCGACCTGTGAGAGCCCATCGCAGTGTAAACCCAGGGGACGGAAGTCGTAGATTTGGTTGCGCTTGCGATTTGATTCGCCGAATTTTAGAATCGTTTTAATCCGAGAATCATAACAAAAAAAACGCTACTGGTGCGCATCCTGCGATCATCGCTCTTGTGTTCGGAGCGCGCACGGTTGCCCAAAGGTGATATCGCAAAAATTACATCTCAAGCCGATCGGCGTGGACTTCCTCACCCAATGCTACCCGGCGCTATCCCACACAACCCCTCATGGCTCTATGGGTGGCGTTTTGTCATGTGACACACAACAAACCATATCAGGTTTTGTTTTATTTTTGTTTAGTGGCCTTGGGGCTACCAGCTCACCATGCTTGAGAGAACCCTGGTTTAATCACAGCCGTATCTAGAAACCTTATTCAAACCCAGGGTCACTAGGTGGTTCTGGCTCATTGACTTCTTGAGCTACATGGGCCACGTTTCAAGTTAGCCAGATATGTACAGTAGACTCTCGATTATTTGCGTGTGCGGCTTATCCGATTTGCAGATTAACCGTGCAGGTGAGCTTTTGACGTAAATTAATAACTTGTGGATTTTCCCTTCAAGGCCAAATTCATAAAATAAAAACAGTTATACATTGTGATTCTTGGAAATGTTCGTTTCAGGCAACGTGCTTAAACAGAACAAATGTGTTGCTCCAGTTAATCCGGAATCCACGTGATCTCCTCTGCAGTGCAGTAGTTGCATATCTTTACAACGGTGGGCGGATTTTGATTTGCGTGGCTCTGCGATCCACTTAGTAGGCCGACTCTTCTGCCCATCGAGATCCGTGGAAAATGTTTTTTTTTTATTACCCGCGATTTTGAATTATCCGCGGCCGACCTCCCCGTCATGATCGAGAGTCGACTGTATTTGGAACCCCAGATTATTCAAGAGAGCCGGACCCAGGCACTACGACATTTCTTATATTTTTTTTACAGATAACAGCAGGCATTTGAAAACTGAGAATAGGTTTTACCCTTTTTCTTCATACTTTGATACTGGCAAAAAAGAAAGGTCCCATGATATAGCGGATATTTACTTTCAAAGTAATGCACACTGGCAGTGTTGGGGAGTAATGTTACTGTAATCGGATCACAAAGTCTATTTGCTGGTAATATACTATATTACTGTTGGTTTTACTTTGAAATCGAACCAGGGTGGTAGTGGTAGAGAGAGAGAGGGGGGGGGGGGGAGGGTGCTCACGAGCGTAAGGTTTTGCGAATTCGAACTTTGGGTTTCCGGGGGTTTCACTCAGTCCATCCTTCTTCTGCAGGGTCAGTATCACTTTGCGTGCGGAGGTCAACGGTGATTGGTCTAAGTTCGTCCCCGTCGTAGAGTCATAGCGCGGTGCTGTTCTTTCTGTGGCTTCGAGGAACACTTTTTGAAGTGTCCAAGCTCTGCCGGTAGGGGGGTTGCCCCCCCCCCCCCCCCCCCCCGCTACGCTGGAGAGTGCGCACGCGTTGTTGCGTTACGGGGCGCAATTTTAATGCGAAGTATTGTTAAAGATTGTCAGTTTCATGAAAGTAAGGGTGCAGGTATTACGGTGAGTCGAGTTTTAAAATTCCACCTGGGATTACATTAAGTTACTTCTACACCAAGGTTAATGTTAGCTTGTGACTGATTACTAAAGCCACCCTCTTTTGACACTGCGCAGTGCTGTATTTTGATTTCAACTTTGTTTAGGAAAGTTTAAGAGGTAAATAAGATTGTGAGAGGCAATGTTTCACGTTGGGAGACTTAAAAAAAAAACGTGACTCCGCGTCATCATTCATACTGTGTCAACGAAATGTCTGCAAAACAGGCTTACGTGTTGCACATTAGCCCTCCGAAGCATTTATTTGCAACGTTAGCCCATTGCTTCTCTGTAGCAACTGACTGATGAGCTGATTGAAATACTGCAATCGATTTGATCAACCACGCTTTGACGGCACAGGTTTTCCCTCGCTCTGCGCAGGTTCGTTTTGCGCGATTTCTCGCACGTGCGGCTAAACCCTGCCTACCCAAAATTCACGATTGTCATGCGGTTTGAATTCACGCGTACGCGGCTATGCGTTCGAGCATGGGACAACGTTGCGTGTGCGTATGCCGTTTGCGCTTCTGCTCTGTGCGCACCCCGCTTTTTCTGCAATGCATCTACTACTTACAACTACGAACGCACAAAGCGAGGAAAACCATGTACGTATCGTGAGCCTAGGATTCACGGTGGCGAATCGTAACACCCGTAGCGATGAGTGCAGTGATATTTACCGGGCTGATGGTGAACTGCTGTCCGTGTATATATGTGCTGTGGTTATTAAGGGATATTTTGCTTCCTTTACACTAAAGCAGACATTGGGTACTGTAGGTTATATTTGTCTTCGTTTTACGGTGGGTTTTACGACAGGGAATAGGCCCTGGGATGTATCCGAATGTTGGGCTTCGATGCGGTATTAAGATAATTTTTAACACATGGGTGAGAATGATTAGGAGAAAAACACGTCTCAAACCTGCTGCTCTGTGACTGTTTTCGAGGTGCGGATGATGACTTTTTTTTTGTTTTTACCGTCGGAAAGAGGCCAGTAAGAGTCAGAAGACACCGTGGACGTTCATTGAATCAGTTGACGGCGGTAAACTTCCCACGGTATGGCTGTGTGCGGTGGCGTAAAGGGAGATGCAACTCAAACAAAATATGTTTAGCCTTTTTGTCGATCAACAAAAAAACCACTTGGGCTCTGTGTCCCCCTCTCTGTCCGTCGGTGGGTTGGAATTTATTGAAAATTCGAGAGTTGTCGCGGCTCTCAGGGGCACCGCTACAGGCGCGCCTTTGTTTGGCGTCGGTCACGCTGCAGTCTCAATTTGCTTAACCAAAATGATCCGTCGATTTTAGCGTTTTATTTTAATTAACGATGACTTGATGCCCTCCAAAGAAGAAATTGATCCCGACGATGACGATGCGAAGGAACCCAAGTTTGAATGAATACTCGCTCTTAGATCAATTAGTCGCGCTATTTTAGACCGCAGTGCATTGAGATAGATTTTTTTTTAAAATATGATCATTGGCGATATGCGTAGAGTATATGAAAAGATTCACGGAGTTCACCAGTTGACTGACGGGAAAATCCTGTGAGGGTGGAATTGCACTGTTCCCTCTAAAGCGTGGACTAACCGTTTGACTGCTTTAATATTTGACAGCTGCGAATGACTTAACAGACAACAACAACAACAAATTATTTAAATGAACACTGTCAAGGCGGAGCCCTGTGACCTGCATGCTGGGAGATGCTCAATGTCAGCCTACGGGAGTGCAGGCAGGGGGCGGGGGTGATTTGAAACCCGTTAAGCCGACAGATTCCTCCATTAGCCAGATTTGAGAGGTCACCAAGTGGCGATTCGTATTCACAAGGAGATTTCACTTGAAGCGTCGTCGCAAACTAACGTTATTTTGAAGGAGTAAAAAATCCGCAATAGTTTTTTGCTTGGGTTGCATCCGAATGCGAAATCGTTTACCCGCTGGCAGGTCGGCTTTTGCAGATTTCCGATCCGCTGTTTTGTGTGTGATTGGCAACGTCATGAACTGGCCACATGTGTGCCGCTCATGACCCTTGCAGCACCCGACACAGCCAAACGTCGAATTGCCTCGTGCGCGATCATTTCACGCGCCGTTTATTCATCCTTTCGGCTCGCTCACGATGGAAAATTGAATCGCGGTTCTCGCAACCAAAAGTTTGCATTTAGTTAACGACGTTTCGCTTGACTACGCACGCCAAGCATCTCACAGCATACATTTAGCCAGATGTGTTGTGGCCTGCGGAAACATTCGTTTACAAATCTTTGTTTTTTCTTAAAATACTGAGGAACCAAGAGGTCCAGTTTCATTTTGGTTGAGTGCTTTTCCCTAGGTGTCGCCGGTTGTAAGGGGGTATTGCCAAAGCAACTACAATGCCGTACCTTTAAACCATTGCCATTCTTTTATGCAAACGGTCAAGGTCTTGCTCATAACTCAATGCCGAGCCCTCGCTTCATCCAATTATGTTTGATTGCAAATTATCTCTACAAATTCGAAGTACGTGAGCGGCATTAATGAACTAATCATATTTCGCTGGGCAGTGACCCATGATTCGAGCTTTAAGACTGTTGCACGATTGTTATTTCGCTTCTCAGTATCGACCGTACGTGGATGTCATTGTTATTACTGTGTACAGGTAATCTGGGGGGGGGGGGGGGGGGGGGGGGGGGGGGGGTTTCGATTAAATAAGAATTGATAGTCATAAAAAATAAAATTCTAACCGATGCTCTTTGGGTTAGATTCCCAACATTTTTGGAACTTTGACAGAACCTCAACGTTCACAAAAATGGTTGCAATCTACCGATTTTTTTTTTAACCTTCGATAGGTGACCATAGAATCAAAACATTTCGAACTTCATTGTTGACCGCCTTTTTAAGCCGGGTGTTTACGTTCACGTTCACCCTCGTGTGCCCTCGTCATCGTCATCGTGGTGGATATACGCAGCCCGTGGATCTCCGTCGACGATCTCACCGTTTACCCACACCGCCCTGCCACAAAGAGGTGGGGGGATCTCAATATTCCTCATCCACTCGTAAACGAAGACGGCAATTTGGTCGAGCGCAACGCTTTTGGGGAAACGAGGTTCGGGGAAGGTCGACCTGCCTCCTCCATGCGACCCTTAGTCGCATGACTCCGATGTGACGATAGTAACGTCATTTGTGCGGAAAACCCTCACCGAATCTCACAAGACGTTTTCAAGAGGGGAGGGGATCCTGCTTATGTGGATGTATGGCCGATTCTTGGAGTAGGTTTTTACGATGGACCATTGTCTGATTGATGTCCCTCGTGTAGTAGCATTTGGGTAGTTGCTTACCATTTGATCGCCCCGAGCCGATGTTGGAAATTTCACGTTTCTATGACGGGGCCCGGCTCAATTGGATGACCACTGTCCTTGGCTGCCCACAAAGTGGTACTGATTTTATGAAGCCCACAGGAATGATGATGATGATGATAAACAGCCGAGTTAACCCAAGACTGGCATTTTAACTTGTGACATTGCAAGTGGAGCCCAAGAAAACCGTGACACTTGGCTGAATTTGTAACGGGAGTTAAAGCTTTTCTGAAAGACAATTGCGCTAAATCGGATTTTTTTTTTTAAATCACGTAATCTTTGTCACCGGCATGTCGGATTTTGCCACGACCTGCCTACCGGTGACAGTTTATTTTTAACGGAATGACAACGTCAAGCGAGCAACATAAGAAAGACCCGTTTGCCGTTTGCGTGTTTGAGGACCCGGCGTGTTACATTCAGACGATGTGACACTCCTGCCTGGTCCGTATGTAAGTGGTGATGAATGGGGATTCTTGCGAATGCCAATTCTCACAGCGGGGATCCGAAGGAAAGCTTTTCAGTTGTTGCGTGTCGGGTCAACGAACGTTACCACGGTCACATTTGAGAGAGAGAGAGAGCCAACATGGCACTTTATAAAAAATGAAATAAAAAATAGGAAGTCTGCTATAAATATGTATGGGACTTTTTTTTAAGGAAGACAGAAACAAAACTTGGTGGTTTGTTGATAGCTTTGATGAGAAGTGTATATACTTGTGAAATTAATGTACAAATACATATACCGTTGTCTAGATTTGTATGTCGCTGTGCGTTTCACACCGAAATATAGTTTGGAAACAAAAAAAAAGTAAATGTACATTCGTTGCACAGGCATTTTGGTTAAAAAAAAATGTTTAAAGCCTTAATTATGCTATTTCCTGATAATGTAATTATAAGACAAAAAAACACACATTTAAGGTTTAACACTTATGAAATAATTCGCTTTCAGATTGAATTCGTATACCGACAGGTTTAGACTTATTTAAGACAAAACTATTCAATTGCTTGTGAACGTTTGGTTGTATACTATTCGCCGACGTTCAGGATTGTGTTGTGGGGTGTTTCTTTTTTGTTTGGCTCTATGAAAATGAGAGAGAGAGAGCACCACCCACCCCCATTGTAAATACCACTTTGACCAAAACAATTTTTTAAAAAAATACAAACGCCCGTTGCATTTTAAAAACATCCTTCCGTGAGAGATTAAAACGAAATCACGCGCTCACCGTTATCGTTTCATTTCCAGTGTAAAAAAATAACTGTACTGGCACAAATAATATATGAGTCGTATTCACAATAAGGAGCATACTCTTTGTGGGGGTTTTTTTCTGCTTCTAAGTGACCACTAAAATGGGTTGATTGTGGTAATTTAATTTTTAATTCAAGCATGGTATTTTTCGGAGAGGGTTCATAAAATAGAGAGAAATAAACCTTCAAATATCACCTTTACATTTTTGTTGCTTATTTTCGCCACCGATCGACAGGAGAAATGTAGCAACACGTGTGCACATCTTAATTGCACCTTAAATTTGCGTTACGTTTGTCATTTTCATTCTGGCTTTCGTTCCTTGCATGTTTCAAAAATAAAACTAAAAAAAACAACAGCACGCACGTATATAAAACAAAAGGCGTACAGAAGCATTGCCTTTGCCGGGTGTGTTTTTGCTGTTGTTGCAAGGTTGTTACCGTGAAATAATGACACGTGTGGGCTCTGTTTTTCAAACCGAAAAGCTTTACCACCGGAGCTTTTGGTGTCCATCCGTAAACCCATTAGGCCTTCTCCAAACGTTGTTTCACAGTGGGAATCTTTAAAACGAGGTTGGTTTGCCCTCCGCTTAACAACAATGGTCCAGGAGACGCAACGTAACTTTAATTGTCCCTTATTTTTGTTTTAATCGGTGATGAAACGGAAATGTCGTGCTCCCAACTCCGAAGACAAATCACGTGTTGTCACCCCCCCCCCCCTCCACATTAAGCAGTCATCTCCGCTCACTAAGTTTTAACTTTTTGTTCCTTAGCTCATCCCAACGACTCCCCCCTTAATTTCCCCCTCATTAGCACCACCCTCTTAATAGTCTCATTATGCGGCTCTCATTAACCACGTTCGTTCAATCCATCATCATTCGCCGTCATCAATTTCGCATTAACCGAATTCACGCATCGTCACAGATTCGCCCCCCCCCCCCCCCCCCCATTGCTTTCCCCGCTCATCCATTTCGTTCACCTCATCTCCACCATTGCATTCGTATCTTGTGCACTGTTAGTTATTTCTAAACCGCCTTTTAATGAAGACGCGATATACATATTCCGTGCAGATCTAAAGATGTTTGGCTCTTTTCGGTGAACGCGAGATGACGTTTTGGGGACGACCTTGATGACATCACGGGGCTGGTCAAGGCGGTCGCCATCACCGACGGGCGGCTGCGTAAACATTTTGTAAGGTTGGAATCACAATGCGCCTGATGTATAGGTTTTTTTGTTATATTTATAACATGTAAAAGTGTTTGCAATATAAAAGGCAAGTTAATTTTTTTTAAAATTGACACCTCTCGTAGTCTTGTCTTGTCTTTACTATTGCACGGTAATAGTTGATTTTAAAAAAATTAAAATTCAATCGCTCTTTCGGTTTACTGTTCGCTGGGGGTTTTCCCGGCAAAGAAGCGGAGAGATAACTTGTCTGTGACGAAAAGTCACGATCCTGTGCATTTAGAGGCCCCCCTCCTAAAGAGAGAGATCTTGGCAAGAGGTGAAAGGAACACCCACACTTTACCCCACCACATGCAACCTGCCTGGCGAATATATGTGGTGTACTCAATTATATTGTTTGAAAATATAAGCACATCTAAATGTTTAGTTTTAAGTGGGGTATATTTAAAGGACGAATATTTTTTTTTTCTATCCCACCAATTTACAAATACCTTTCACTAATAAATGACACCTATTTGATTCTGAAAGCCAATTTGACACCCAGCGTGTGTATGTGTGTTTAATCAATGGTTGTGTATATTGTAAAATAATAATTATAGTAATCTACAACACTCTGTCCGTTACTGGATGAAGCATCCCCCCCCCCCCACATCGTGAGGGTTGTTTAACCATACTTCACCACGCTGGTCAATGCGGGTTGGTCAAAAGGGTGTTCTGGAAC